GGCAAGCTTTCAAAAAAGTATTGAACTAATTGCCACTTAGAAATGTCATGATGTAGACACTTCCTAAGCAAATCATTAAATCTTTTCCATGCCTCATGAAATATCTTCCCGTCCCCTTGAGAAAATTCTAAAATAGAAGTTCTCATTGCATTGGTCTTTGAAACCGGATAGTACTTTTTCAAAAACTCTTGTTACATTTTCGCCCAAGAAGTTATCGAAAAAGGCCTAAGATTGTTGAACCAATATTTCGCCTTGTCTTTAAGGGTAAAGGGAAAGAGTTTGAGTTTTAAAATTTCTTCCGGCATGTCTGTGTATTTCACGGTGGAATACATTTCAAGAAACTCATCCAAAAGCTTGTAAGGTTCTTCACTTGGAAGTCCATGATAGTTGGGAAGCATTTGAATAGTTTGCGGTTTAATTTCATAGTGATGTGCTCTAAAAAGGGGCAATTGAATGTATGTAGGTGCATTATATTCATTTGGCACATAATGAGCACGCAAAGCAAGAGGAAGATTCATAACTGGTGGTGCTACATAAGCACCTTGATTTACTTGAGCAATGGGAGGTGGGGGTGGAACAAAAATTGGCCGAGGCATTCCCAATGGAACTTGGCCTTGTTGTTGTAGAATGAAAGGTCTTGGCATGCCTAATGGTACGTGAATGTTATCATGATGCACATTAGGGTGGAAGATACCTTGTTGGTCGATGTGATCAAGGTCCTCCACATAGTTGTCAAAGGCGCCTCCAAGCGCCATGATGTCGCCTTGAGTACACTTAAGGCGGCTCTGTTACATAAGGCGCGCGCCTTTACCACGAAGGCGCCAGGCTACAGGCGCTATAAAGGCGCGCCTGCCTTAAACTGTGGACTTTTTTTTACTTCTTTTCGTTATTTTATTTATTTTTGTTTGTTTATTTTTTTGTTATATTATTGTTATTATTTGTATTCTATTATTTTATTACTTAATATAATACAAAGCTCAAAGGCTCAAAGCTGAAAAGCCTATTACAACATAAAAAAAAAAGAAAAAAAAAGAAAAAGAAAAGAGGCAAAGCAAAGGAGAAAGAAGAAGAGTCGAAGACAGAGGCAGCGAAGGCGGTAGTAGTACTCACTCGGATCTGCGTCGGCTAGCACTCAGCAGGTAAGTCCTTCTCTCCTTCTCTTCTTCTCTCCTCCTCTTCTCAGATCTGCCGGATCGGTCAGATTTTTTTTTCTTCTTTTCTTCTTCTTCTTCTCTCGAGTCTCGGACTTTCGGCTCTCTCCTAGTCCTAATTTATATCATTTATTTTTCTTCTTTTTAATTTTTTTAAATTATTTTTCTCCAGTTTATTCTTCTTTTCCTTTTTATTCTTTTTTTTTTTTTTCTTTTCTTTTCTTCTTCTTCTCTCGAGTCTCGGCTCTCTCCTGGCAGATTTGTTTTTATTTTTCTTCTTCTTCTTTTTATTTATTTATTTTTTTCTCCACTTTTATTCTTTTTTTTTTTTTTTTCTCTAGTCTCGGCTCTCTCTTGGCAGAATGGCAGATTTTTATTTTTATTTTTCTTCTTCTTTTTATTTTTTTATATATTTGTGTGAGGTACTTTAAATTTACGTGCTTGGAAGCCTTGGATTAGATTACTGCAATGTATTGCTCTCACTATTTTTTTATTTTATTTGTGTGATCCTAATTTATTTGTGTGAACAGCTGTATTTGTTCCATTCTAACATGTTGTTGGTTTGAGGAAATGCATTTTTATCTAATTTTGTTAAAATGAAATAATTAGTTAAGTGTACTATAAATTATAGAAGTCAATCTCAAATTGTAAATAGCTCATGTACTGTTAAAATGAAATAATTTTGTTAAAATGAAATAATTACTCATGTACTGTTATATTATTTTCATATAATTAGGTTCTATTATTGAAAGAATGTTTAGTTGTTAAATCACTCACCCAAAAATGAAAAATAGAATCAATGATGGTGCTTATAGAAAATTAAATTGATTTGATTTGAAAATATATCACATCCTTGTGGTTTTTGCAAGATAAATTCATAATTTCTATTTAATGCATCCAAACATGGTGAAAGAACATGGTGCTTATAGAGGATGTTAGAGAAAGAACACCCACATTGATTATTCACTGTTTAACTCAAGTACTTGATTTATTTGGTTTTGGCATCTTTATGTTGAATATTTAACTTAAGTAATTCATTTAGTTGACTTTTGCATCTTTATATATACTATTGCATCTTTAATACTTTATTGGGTGGGTTTTGTTTGTTTCTTTTTTCAACGTGCGCCTTGCTTCAGTCAGGCGCGCGCCTCGCCTTGCACCTCAAGCTCCAGGAGGCATTTGCACTTTTGTGCGCCTTGAGCCTTTAACAACTATGGTCCTCCACATGGTCGTCATTTTGCTCCTCTATTGGTAAAATGGAGTGATGAGAGCTACCCCTTCCCCTAGGATTACGAACAATGGATTCAAGAGTCAAATTAAGTGGGACAAGAGTAGGATTTAACTACCTACGACCATGCATGCACAAACAAAACAAAAATTAGAAACAAGCAAGTAGCAATCACTTTGCCTCCGCAACAAATCAATAATCAACAATCCTCCGCATACATTGATCCCATGCTTCCATGCTTTGAACAATATGCAAGAAAAATTAAATTGCCTCCACGCAGGCTCATGATTTATCTAAGAAAGTGAAGACTTGCCTCTACGCGGGCTCACGATTTAACTAGAGATAGACTTTAGAGAAGGCTCACAAAGGTTACTTTAGAAACTTCGAATTAATTTCAATTTTGCTTTGCTTTGCAATTTTTTTAAATTTTTGCTTTTTATGCTTAGCTTAGCTTAGCTTGTCTTTTTGCTTTTGTAATTCCGCTTTGCTTCATTCTTCTTGGCTCAATTCACCTAGCCAATCAAGAACAAACACAATAAGTAACCAAAATAAAAATAAAGTAAAGACACAATTAAAAGAGTACTAATTCCTAATTGTTTCCGAAATACGGCGTTGCCTCAAATCCCCGGCAACGGCGCCAAAACTTGGTGTTGTCGTGAACCAACAAATTAAAATATGTTAAAGAGTGGCCAAGTTTGAATTTATGAAATGCCACTACCACTTCTAACTAAAAATATAGTTAGGGTGAGTAGGGATCGTCCCAAGGGATTGGAAGCGTACTTTTGCTTGGAAACAAGGTTGGATTAGTAGGTTGAGTGATCAAAAGGTGGTTTGATTGGTTAATTAAACTACAATTTTAACTAAATGGATGCAAGGTAAAGTAATTGAAATAGAGTAAAATGTAGAGAATATAAGAGAGGGATCTTGGGACTTAGAAGTCACTACAAAGCATCACCTTCCTAGACACTCAATATGCAATAAATGAGGGGGGTTATATGTTGCAATATTAGTGTGTGTCATTGATTGAATCAACAAGCATGGATGACCAATAAAGCATACACTGTCTAGACAACTAATGAATAGCACAATATATCAAATTAAGCCATTGTTCCTTCCTTTAAGCTCACAATCGAAACACATCAACAAACTAAGAAATATACTACTTGCATTCATAAGCATGGAACATCAAACAACAAGCATAGATTGTCCACCCATCTAAGAAAGGAAGGCAACTACACACTACAACTAAGCTAGGGACATGAAAATTAAACTAAGGAAGAGGCACAATCCATCAAGAAATGAGTATGAACCATCAAACAAACCACAAGAGTATTCCATTAAAGCACCATGCCTTGACAATCTCTAGATTCATAGCATCAACACATATAGACATGCATCAATATCACAAAACCTAGAAATAAACACATGAACATATATTCTGGCATACATAGGCATATGAATAGAATGAAATGATCAATTGGAAATAGTAAATCACACAAATCATTATAGAAACAAGATTCATGTATAATTCAAATGTCAAGACAAGAATTACAACACAAATCTCCTCAAAATACAAAGCATCAATGTCTAGAAAACATGCTTAGGGCTAACTTTAGCTCCAAGAGAATGATTTAGCCACTTATTGATGTAGTCATCCAACCCTCAAGGGCATCTCCATGGTAGGAATGCTCTTTTTCTCCTTGATGGAAATCCTAGATAAGTGGAAGAACTCCCAAATGGTGTGTGTCTCTCTAATCTCTAGACTCCTCCAACCTCTCTCTTGTGTATGATTCTCTTAGAATGTATATGTGTAAAATGGCTCAAAATCTTTATATAGGTAGATCAAGTGTCACACCCAATGGTTAGACCTCGTGTATTAGGACCTCCAAATGATTGCTCTATGAGCACCCTTTTAATTAGCTGGAACTCTATTTTTTTTCGCATTTGAGGGGGTTCGATCGATCGAAGTCCGGTGAGATCGATCAAACCATGGCGGCGCCTTTTTGGAATAAGACAAATTTGAGATATTTTTGGGATATTTTGGGAAAAAGACAAAAGTGGTAGGTGGGGATAAGATCAAGGGTGTTCGATCGATCAGAGAAATGTTGGATCGATCGAAGAAGGTATTTTGGTGAGGAAAATGACAAAAGTCTCAATTTATCTTGAAATGGCTGGAACGATCACTGTGAGATCGATCTGAGCTTGGTCTGATTGATTGAATAATGCTGCTTTCCACCTCTTCACTTCCACTTTGCTCATTTCTTCCATTCAGCTTGAGATTGCTTCTTTTATGCTCTAATTTAGCTGAATTAACTTATTTTGGGGATAAGTACTTGAAAAGAGTAATAACATGAAATTGGTCTAAAACGGAAAAATAAGATAGATAAAGGTTCTAAAATACTCGAGCTTAAGGGGTTTAAATGCGCACTTTTCAGTGCTCATCAATGGCCTTCTAGCTGTAGGTCTGACACTAGGTGGATTAGACTGCAGCACTGGTTGCACTTGATATTGTCTTTTAAATTACTGTTTTTTTCTTTTGCTGGTTGGTTTTTTCTTTTCTTGTGTGTGCGTGTGTGTGGCTTCTATCACTAGAAAGTTATATATCTTGAAATTCTGTGTAGGCTGAGCAAAGGGCACGTGAAGAAAGTGAAAAGTTGAGGCAACAGGAGCGTGAACAAATTGCAGAAAAGCGGAGGAGAGATTTGGTTTGTTGTTCAATTTATTTTTACAGTGCATCTCTGCAAGTGCAGCTTATAATGGATGTCCTTTTTATGTGAGGAAGCAAATTAAAATTTTCTTACTTATTTGTTTTAACTGTATATTTTTCCGTCAGACTCTTAGAGCACGTGTTGCTGCTAAGGCAGAGGAAAAGAAGTTGGAATTGCTATTTCTTCAGTGGATTGAGCACCATAAAAAACTTGGCAATTTTCTAAGGTACATCTTTTTGGACTTCATTTATTTGCCGTGATTGCATTTCCCCCTTGAAATATTTCTCACATGGTTGCCTGTCACAGTTGAGCTTTCTGTTTCTAATGCTCTTACTATGTACTTTCTGCCTCAGGTTATTTCTAATTTTTGGTCCGAAAGTGTCCATATTCACAATTTTATTGAGACGAAGATAAGTTTCTGTTCATGCGCATGGCAATGAAGCAGCTGGATGACTGAAATATTCCTGCTTGCAGGATTCTATGTTGAATGAGGGAGTTTTTTTTTTGTATATATGTATATGACTCATTTTTTTCCCTTTATGGATTGAATTTCTTTCAGGACTAAAGCAGAGCCTCCAATATATTACTCGTTCGCCAAACCTATGGATAAAGATGCAACCTTGGTTGAGGAGCAGAAGGAAAAGGTGATTTTCTGGCCACACTTCAAACTTGTGTACTACCCTACAAGTGTATTGAGAAAAATTTCCCACAGTTTTTATATTTGCTATATATTAGCAGAAAAAGCCAGGATCTCCAAGGAAGATGGAAAATTTGTTTCTTTCTTTGTTGTTTTTTTCTTTTTGAAGCTATGAAGTACAATTATGACTATAAGGGTGCTATATCCATATCATGGTTCACAGTCGTGGTCATGACCACGATAATAGTCGTGGACACGGTGTAATGGGCTCGGGCCTATATCGCTGTAATGTAATGGGATATGTTGTCGCAATCATAATTTTTTTGGGGCCTCGCACCTAAACCCATAAATGCACTAATACAGTATTTTTTATAACATAATTCAATAAAAATGGGTTTTTAGTAGATTTTTTGTGATTTTTATTAAATTTTTTTAGACTATCTACTTATCTAGCCTAAGTAGTGACCTATTTATGAAGTCTAACTTTTGGTCGTTACTAAAAATGCTTAGTAATTACAATTTTTTACTAAATTAACGAATAAAAATAAATTAAGTATGAAATAAATTAAAATTCTTATTACAGTATGTGTAAGAATTACAAAACAAAATTTTAAAAAAATGAAAAGATACAATACAAATTAAAATTACCAAGAAAATTATCATATTAATTGATTATATATAATTTTTTATTTGATTATATATAAAGTTTTAAGCATTTAAGAGGGGGCTATATATGTACAAAGGATGCAATGCTCAGTCACTTGTGTACATGGTCTTGGTTTCAAACTTCTGTCCATGAATACTTTTATTGTTTTAATGCAAAGGCATGTTACGTAGCTGTTTGGTTTCAGTATGTTAGATAGTAATTTCATTTCACTGATTTTTAAGAAATAACAAAATAAAATTGAATCATTGGAAATGCTTTTTAGGTGCATGTTCCAACCAAAAGTTTGGACGCATATCCTATACCCATGTTCAAGTATTGTGTGTTTGACATGGACGCTTCACCTGTTTTTGAAGAGTCCATGTAACATAGCCGACCACTTGTCCAATTACTTCTTAGGGACACGTCTGACAGGTCTAAAACATCAAATTATAACTTTTCTAACCACAATGTCATAGTATAATTATTAAGGAAAGCACAACTAAGGTTCCAAATACTTTGGACTTTCTTCAGAAAGAAGAATTGTGATATAATGAGAATATATTGTCTAATTTAGTTTGAAGTTTATGTCCGTGCGGCCTGTTAGCAGCTCACCAGGTCCATTAATGGCCTTGTTTTACCCGGCTCACTCACGCCTGCAATTCTAAGGTAAAAAAAAGAGGCTAGCTGTTGGAAATTTTAAAAAAATTAAGCCGTTGAAGCTTTATACTTTATTCTTCTCCTCTCTTAATTACCAAGTTTTCGTCGCTCTCATCTCTCAAGTGCTAAATCTTGATATTATATCTTTTGCTTGGCCCATAGTATATGCTAAAATTTGTATGCAAAATATATCCTTCTTAATTTAGCAATATTCAGGATAAATTACTATATCATCAACATAAAGACATGGGGTAATTTTGTAAATATTCGCATAGTAAATATAATCAATATATATATATATAAAAGAATTGATATACATAAAAGTTTTTTGATAAGTAATATATATAAGTTTATCGTAATAGCATGATATATACTAATATTTAATAGTGTGCATACTTTTAAAAGTATAAAAATGTAATACATAAGTACATATATACCAGTATATTAATATTATAGATGTAAGCCTTAAGTATAGTATTATTGTATATATAAGTGTATTAGTTAGTTATAACTAATATTAGTTATTAGTTATTTTGTTTTTTATTAGTAATAACTAATTATGATCTATTATAAATAATTATATAACAATAAGTTGCTGTATAAGTGACTAATAATTAATTATTAAGTTAAATTTAATAAAAACTAATAATCAAGTAAGTTATTAAGTTCTAAGTAATAAATTAAAAGCATCAAGTTGTATTGATAAGTTATAACTAATTACATAAGTAATAAGAAATTGAACAATCACACATATATATATGTGTTTGTATATATATTTAGTGAAATAGACTTGAACTTGATTGTAGCCTGAATAGTCCAAATTTAATGAAACTTGAGTCAATTTAAGCTCACTCAATACCTGAAACTGGCATACTTTAAACTGCCATCTGTCTACAGGATCAGCATGCGGGCTTTGCCAAAAGTGCTGAGTAAAAAAATACAATAATTAATTTTTTAGTTGTCAAGATATGTTATAGTTAAATGATAGGAAATAGGAAACCCATTTTCCTCGATGAAATTTGGTCATGTTTTATTTATTTATTTATTTATTTCCTAGTTGATACTCACACACTCCCCCTTCCAAAAAATTGTTTGCACCCAAGAGGAGTCGAACCTTAGACCTAATGCTTCATAAGGCACCAGGGCCAAGCTTACCCACTTGAGCCAACCCCTTGGGGTCAATATGGTCTTTGCTTTGTCCTGTGTGGGGCTCAGAATGTGTTTTTGGAGCAGTTTATGTTTCTTGGGGCGGGGCAGGAAAGCGGTCTGGACTTGAAACAGGGTTGCTACTCAATTCCCAATCATTAGATAAATTCCAGATCATGGATGGGCTTTGTTCTTGTCTTGAGTCGGTTTGATATTTTCCTATTGCTACAAATGTATGGAGCATCTTTGTATAGAGAAATAGTGAATGTAGAAGTTATTAATCAGGTGGAAGAAAGGATGAAATGGGGATTTGCATCTGGAACTTGATTTAATACTTGTAGGATGCATGAAAATTCTGTTTGTTAATTTATTCTCCATTCCAATTTTATGTATCAGGCTTTTCAAGAATGGAAGGCTGCTAGGAGAGAGGAGTTGTCTGAATATCAGAAGCAGATCGGGGAGCAGTCTATTGCCAATGTTGAAAAGGAGCTCGAGAGGAGGCAAAATGCAAGGAAAGTTAGGAAGCCAAACAATGATATATTGAACTTACAAGAGACGATGGACAAAGAACTAGAGACCCATAGGCTTGAGCATGGCCCCAAGACACGGAAGCTTCCCAGTGGAAGCAACAATGAAGACGAAGAGGATGTGGAAGACATCAATGTTGGCGATGATGACATGATGGATGATGTGCTGGATGTTGATGAGAACAGCAGGAGAGGTGACGAATCAGTGAAGCCAGAAGCAGGTAATGGTAGTCCGCATCCAGACAATATGGATCAATAGTGTTGAAGCCATCCCATCGCACTTCCTCTTTTGTCACTCCGGTAAATCTGATTTGTATTCTGTAACTGTTGTTTACCTCTAGAACGGACTGTTTTGGTTATTTAATTACTTTTTCTTGCTTTTGTTTATTGAATGTTATATCGTTATAAGTTTTTTCTTTAGAGGATGTACTTATTTTATTAGCCCTCCATTTTGGGTTTGAGCTCCCTTTAATTAAAATCTGTGCTCTGTTAAATTTTTGTTGGCTTTTGCACATTTTTATTGAAAAGAGTAAAGCTAAGCAATTTTTTCTGCGGATTTTGGATATATTTGTGGGTTGTTGAGCTGTTATTATGGTATGATCTTAGACATTCTTTGTTGTGGGAACTTTGTGCTTCTTTGAAGACTATTGTGAGGACCATTTCTCTTAAGATTAGGTTTACTAAGAAGACCGAAGGCATTTGCTGCACCTTGTTTACTGCTCGAATTAGGTTTTTCTGGTCAGGTTTACGGCTGTTGTCATGGTCTGTTTGGGGGTATGAGGATATTTTGTAGCCCTATGTTCTATTATCATAATAAGCTTACTGCGGAGTACGCAGACATGTCATGGTTTTACTTCTCCTCTTGTTTGTCACCGGTAAGCTTCTCCGCAGTAAGCTTCTCCTTTCCCACGGCCTTGACACTGCCGACAAGCCCTCTCTCTCTCTCTCCTCTGTCCCCGACGGCTCCCTGGCAAGTATGCTTACTTGCTTTCTCCCATCTCCAAATGTTTGTTTCTTATATGTTCCCAACCTTGGTAGTGGGTTTGTGCTGGAAACGGGTGATGTCAATGGAGAAGAGCATGGACGGCGATGTGCTCGATGACGGAGTGTACCGTCAAACACACAGAACGACTGCGATTCAAGGGACTGTTCTTACCGGTGGCGAAGGAAGATGTCTTTACCGACGAGCATGGACTAATTAAACCGTGGTGAAGCTAGAAGGAACTGTCCCGGGGAACAAGTGACTGATTTGCAGATGTTGGGACTATGGCACTATGCTTTACCCATGATGACCCAAGCGGGTTTGTACTGCCGACGGCAAGAGAACTTACCAGCTATCAAGGATTTTACGGCAATAGAACTTACCGGCTTGATAGCGGAGAGCTTAGAACAACTAAATGGTCAGCAAGGATGATAAGACCGCGGATGATGGTGACCGTCAGTGTGCTTGGATGACTGCCGATGTTGTTTACCGACGACGGCAAGCATGACAGTTGTGGCGACGGATAGGGGCAGGGATAAACGGCTGAAGGAGAGCTCGGAACGAAGCTTACCGTCGAGGCGCGGGGAACGGCGGCGAGCAAGGTATTCTCGGTAGTGAAACGGAACGACGAGGACTACGGCGAGGATGGCGGGTACAGTGGGCACTCTTAAACTGGGTTTGCATTATTTTATATTGAGTTTTCCTTTTTTGCTCTCTCTATTTTTCTCTTTCTACAAGCAATACTCACTTTCTCTGTATTTCTTTCCTTATTTTTTGCCTCATTATTGAGTGATTAGAAGTGGGTTTCACCGGTGATAGCCCAGCCAGCAGCTTCTACAAGAACCCATCTCCGTTGACGGCGAGTTGTAGCAACCCAGTTCGGTCCGGTGACAACTCAGACCATTAAGTGTCAATGAACCTACCAGCAAAGCTCCCAACTGAAATGTACATGAACTTCGACTCGCCGACCGCAGACCCATCTTTCCTTCTCTCATTTCTCACCAGTAAAACAGCCCCTATTAGTCTTACCGGTCAATTTCGTGGCTGCAGTTTAGATCTATTGGGTGTTCTGGGTTTGTTGATACGAGGGCACCATTGTCCTTTTGAGTTTATAAGTCAAGGATAGTATTGTAAATTTGCAGTGATTATTGAGGTTAAAAATGTCCTTTTAGGTATTAGAAGGGTAAAATTGTCTTTGCACTGATTTTTTGTGACGGACATAAGCATAAACGGTTAGTTGTTTAACCGCAAGGGAGGTCCGTGTTATCAGGATATAAACTTTGAAGGAGGTCAGTTATTTGACAAACAAGAGGGGAGGTCGGTGTATGATAACGAAACTTCAGGAAGGTCAGTGTAATTATCCCAAATTAAAATTATTAAGTATTGAAAATTTTAAGTGTTATTGTATAAACTTCTGTTGAGAACTTTTCTTAAACTACTTTAGATTTTAAAGTGTTTAATTATCTAATGCTTAATTACGCTTATTAGTGGTATTCAAGTTGTACTATCAAATACACTGATTAAAATAAAACATCATTTATCTTTCTCTCATCTTTCGGAAAAATGATGGAGGGTCTTTTTTTTTTTTGAAAAACATAATTGGTTGTTAACATCGTATATTTTTTTCTCCTATGTCCAATGATCAATTTTCTTAGAGCTGCATAGATTATGGAATTGAAACTTTGAAATTAGAATTAGAATATTAGCTTCATAAAAGATGGATCATCAGGAACTATGTATTTTAAATCAATTTAGGACTCATTGAACTTACCCAAAAAATATAGGTATGCTATATATATATATATATATGCAAGGACAAGAAGAAAGGGATACATTAAAATAAGAGAATTTTTGAGATTGCAAGTTTTCTTATTTTTACTTGAGACACGAGCACTCAATTCAGCAAACACCAAGAACACTACATTTGTGCTATGAGTTTAAAATAGGGACAGAATTTGGGATAAAAGAAATAGTTACAACATGCACCTCTCAAGAGAAAAGTATCCGGGATATATATTAATTTATTAATTTATTTATTTTTGTTCGCACCTGAACCTTGAAACATTGACTAAAGATTTGAGAGTTAAACTAAAAGTTGGTATTTTGAGAAATTTTTCCGTGGTCTCGATCAATGATAGCTTGACATACAGACAAAAAGCTGACACATTTACTTGCGTGTTTGATTATGATCAGTCACCATCGTTTAATAATTTCTCCCGTTGTCTTAAAATCATTAAGTATATACATATGTTTTCATAATTCTAACAATGTTCATAAAACAACTTCAACCCCCAACCTCCCTCCAATTTTTCTCTCCCACGTCAAGAATCACCTATTGACCGGTCTTTTTCTTTTAAGCTCTCAATCTTCCTCTCTTTTCCTTTTTGTTGATAGATATGCTACTCTCATAACAAAACTCAAATATGCAACAATTATTATCCTTTTTTTAACCATAATTATATATACGACAATTATTGCATCTAAAGAAAGTTCCATTTGGAAACAAAAGAAGATTACTATTTTTGAGTCAAAAACTTAGTGAATAACTCTCTCTCACTTCTAAACAAAAAAACCCAAAGAGAAAAAAATTTAAAAACAGGGTATCATGTAATGTTTTTAAAAAGTGAAAGTTTGTTTGGGATGAGTTTTATACTTATTAGGGCAAAGTGCAAAAACTTCTCTGAATTGTATTAGAATTTGCAAATAATTCTTTTAAAGTATATTTTGTGGATAAAATCTAATAAACTATCATATTTAGCTGCAAAATGCCCTAATACCTTGACTATATTTTATTAAATAACCATAATACTCTTTCTTATTGAATTACACTTAATACGTAGAGTTATATCATTTACAAATGATAACGTGATTCTCTATATCTACAAATATGAGAGCCATACCGAGAGCACATACCTGTCGTCCTTACAGCTGCAATTCAAACTAATCATGCTCTTATTTGACTTGCAATAAGTGGCGAGCTAGATTATGATTAGAGAGAGTCGTTTTTAAACAATAATAAGGAAAAAAAAAAAAAAAAAAAACTATAATGAATAAGAGAACTTTTAACGTTAATTGATTGTTTCATTAAAATTTTGCTCAAACTTCTATTCTGATAAATACTTTCACTTCAATTATTAAACTAACATTAAAGCAATTGAAATTAAGACTCCATTTTGTTGGACATAAATTAATAGTGAAAAGTAAAAATAAAAGAAAGCAAACAAAAGAAAAAAAATTGTGTATTTAATTAGAGTAAATTTTTTTTTTTTAATATGAGAAATTATGGGAATTATTGTGAATTTATCATGCTAAAAAAATTTATAAAAATATTAAATATTTATAAAAAGTAATTTTTCCTTAAAGTTTTGTTCTCATGGTAAGTGTTCAAATTTCTTTCATATATATATATATATATGGGACAAGTGTAGAAAATATCTCTAAAGTATATTTCGCGTAGCACTTTTACCCCCTATATAAAAAAGTATGCAAAAAATATCCCTAATCTTTTTACATTATGTAAAAATACCCCACATAAATTAGTGATGTAATACTCATTTTACCTTTTCTCTTCAAAAAATGTTCAAGGAGGTATATATGCTACTAATCTCATAGAATAGGGGTGTTATGCTCACATTGCCTTATATATATATATTATATATTTTTTTTTTTTGAAATTTTTTTTTTCTATATATATATATCTCTAAATATTTTTTTTGTAAACTTTGAAAATTTGTAAAACAAGGATTTGAATTTTTTGAGATTTAGTTTACTTTTTTCTACTATTTTTTTTTCTTTATTATTTTTTTTAACCAAAAAAAAATTCTTAATATTAGTGTGCACTGATTTTTGAAGTTTGAAACAGATTTGTTTTCTTTAGTTTGCACTTTATTTTCGTTTTTTATTTTTACTTTTATTTTATACTTTTATCATTGCTTATCTATTGCCGGGATCCTCCAATAGTGCCATTTTTGGTTATTTTATAAAATTATATATTTTTATATATTTTATAAAATGTGGTAATTTGGTCAACTTAGAGTTTAAATTTGTTAATCATTTTATAAAATTATTTATTTTTATATATTTTATAAAATGGTTCAGTAAGGATAATTTAATCAATTTAAGATTTAAATTTGTCAAAGCGACAAATTAAAATTTTAAGGGAATATTTTTACACATGAAGAGTATGATATGCATTATAAACATACTTCAAAAATATTTTCTGTATTTGACTTCCACATATATATGTATGTGTATATATATATAAGGGCCAAGGCACCACTAACAGAAAATTTTGATTTTAAGTCACATCATTTTAGTTGTGATTTGTGATTTATATATATATATATAAATTTGTGTTGCAATTTTCATCTAACCAAACATATTCAAAATTAACTTTTTCATAACTTTTTAGTAAATCACAACTAAAATGATGTGACTTAAAATCAAAATTTTCTGTTAGTAGTGCCTTGGCCCTTAAACAACAATCTTGAATAACGAAAAGTCAAAAATTTAACAGTGACTTTGATACCACACCATACCATTACCACAATTTTCCACATCCATTCATACATGAAACCCCACTTTCTGTTTGTCTGTTTGTTTTTTTTTTTTTTTCAAGCAAAGGTAACAAAGTATCCACATTCCTTCTCTCTCTCTCTCTCTCTCTCACACACACACACACACACTAACCCCTCTCTTTCTCTCTCTTCAAAAGCCAAACAAATCAGACACAGAGAGAGAAATAACAAAGAAAAAGAGAGCGGTGGGGGCCTTAGCTTTGCAGCAATTAATCTCTCATCTTTAGCCGGAGCTATCAAGAAAATGACCTCCAGACCCAACCCCACCGCCACCGCCAACGGTGACCACCACCACCACCACACAAGTCGCCCACCGCCGCCACCAGGTCCACCACCGCCGTCACACCGCCCAAACTCCGACCACTACTACTACCCATCTAGTTCTTCCTCCTCCAAAGCCTCATTCAAAGGCTGCTGCTGCTGTCTCTTCCTCCTCTTCTCCTTCATCGCCCTCCTCATCCTCGCCGTCGTCCTCATCATCGTCCTCGCCGTCAAGCCCAAGAAGCCCCAATTCGATCTCCAGCAAGTGGGTGTCCAGTACATGGGCATCACGCCCAATCCCCCCACCACATCCGGCGCCGGCGCCACCACCTCCGCCTCCGTGTCGCTGAACATACGCATGCTCTTCACGGCGGCGAACGACAACAAGGTGGGGATCAAGTACGGCGAGTCGAGGTTCAGCGTGATGTACCAGGGGATACCGCTGGGGAGGGGCACGGTGCCGGGGTTCTACCAGGCGGCGCACAGCGTGAAGCAGGTGGAGACGACGGTGGCCGTCGATCGGGTCAACCTTTTGCAGGCGGACGCGACGGATTTGATCAGGGACGCTTCTTTGAATGACCGGGTTGAGCTCAGGGTCTTGGGTGATGTTGGGGCTAAGATCCGGATACTTGGGTTCACTTCGCCCGGTGTGCAGGTTAGCATCCTATACTCCTTACTTTACTGCTACCTGCTTTTCCATAGTAGTAGTATTACTTTCCTCACTCTCTCTCTCTCTCTCTCTCAAATTCTCTCTCTAGAAATGCGTAAATTTTAGAGTGTCTGTAGAACTACTTTACTCTCTCTAAATTATCTCTTTAGAAATGGGTAAATTTTAGTGTCTGAACACATATCAGCTAAAAATCTCCTAGTTTTCTCTCTCTAGAATTTTGGCTTGAAATTCTCTCTCTCTCTACATTGGGGATGGGGATGGTGTTTGCCGGTTGGGTCTGTTCTAGAATCTGCTCGACAGCCGCTACATTCTGTCTCCTCCTATGGTTGACTAACTTGCGCCGTTAGCCCGATGCGTGCTAATTTGCGCCGAATGTGTTACCGACTATGTTTTTCTTTTTTTAGGTGGGGAAATGCAGTTGTACGTTTTTTTTTTGGGTCCCTTCGTAATTGTTGGATATGAATTTTTTTTTTTTTTTTTTTTTGGGTGTTAATTTAAAAAGAATTTAATAAAAAAATAATTTATAAAAATATTTAAAAAATAATATTACCTCCATTCCCCAAAAAATAAAAAAATAAAAGTGTCAACTTTTAAAAGTTATAATTTTTCACAAGTTAGAATTTCCCAGAAGTGATTAATGATTTGAAGTGGTGGAATCATGATTATGATCTCATTAATATTCTTATCCAAAAGTATTAATTCCATTTACATAACAACAAATATCACAGGAGGCTGTCCTAATCATGATGTCATAAAGTAATTATATAAAATTTGTTGAAATTTATTATCATTACTTCATAATATAGTTAAGAATAGATTTTAAAATAGGTGATGACAATTTTATAAAAACGATGTACTTTCATTGATTCCAGCTTAACAATAACTTTGTATGCTTCTTCTTCTTCCTTTTCTCTCTAGTACGTGGGTTTGGGTTTGGGTTTGGGTTTGGGTTTGGGTTTGGGTTTGGGTTCGGGTCAAGGAGTATTACACCGAGCCAGTTAGCCTATTCCTTTGGTTTGCAGTGGTACTACCGAAGGAATATAAGTCGTTGTATCATGGGAGATAGACGCCACTGAATCCGTTGGCACCATAGCGGAGCGAATCTGTTTTAAAGATATAGAATCAAATTATAGCCTCGACTTTAAATTATGTTGATTTATTTTATAGTTTTTATTTTGTTATATTAAACTATATATTATAAAAAATTATATATATAGATTATTATTTTATAAAAATAATTATATATATATACATTATATTTTCAGATAATATTTGAATAAATAATATTATAGTTTATGGTATAGTTATACCACATATTTTTTGGACAATAATCTAAAGAAATCTTTTCGGTGCAAGAACTATTATTATTTCTTTTTCGTAAAAATTGATATAAAAAATTAAGGTTGATATAAAAGATTTAAGCGTCAATCGACTTAAGTAACTAGAGTGACATGACATACAAGCTTAAATGACTTGTACATCATTATTTAATACAAAATTGTTTTATTCTATTAAATGTAAAGTAGTTATGAGGTGACGGAATATTAGAAAATAGAGAGAAGGATTTATATGTGGGGTGTTCTAGAACGTTCGATAACTTATACATTATTTTCGGTTTGATTTAATTTGCTAATTCTCGAAATAAGATAGCGACAACAACACATTAATAACTTATTTCGAGAATCATTTTATTAAATTGAGTTTCAAAGTAATGTGTTGAATTTCGAAATAACTTATCCGAGGAAACATACAACAAAGACTCTTGAAATATAAATTATTATTTTTAATTTAATTTAATGTGTAACTCTTAAAATAAATCGGTTATAGGAACACATTAACTAACTTATTTTGAGAGTTAATTCATTAAATTTAGTTTTAAAATAATGTGTTGAATTTTGAAATAATGCGTACCAAAAAAAAAAAAAACGTACAATGAAGTATGGACTCTATTTATTATTTTCAGATTTAATGTATTGATTCTCGAAATAAATAGTCGATGTCAATATATTAATAATTTATTTCAAAAATTAACATATTAAATTAAACTTTAAAATAATAAATGTAGAATAGAGAATAGAATATTTTTCTGCCACTTGGTTTTTTAAAAAATTAGGAATTTATAGAATAATTTTTGGCACAAAAAGCTTTTGGAAGTGGGAAAATTGATCCCTAATTTAAGGGTAGTGATGGGAATGTTTCTTTGCTTTCACTCTGCGTGACAAAGTGGACCCCACAAACTTCACGAGCAGTAAATTCCTCATTATTGGGGCGTGTAATCAGTCGCCGCTGAGACGCGTGAATTTTCTTTTTCCTGTCGTTTAGATTCCGGACAACATGCCACTGCACCACCACTGCATTTTCAATCCTAGTGAGATATATGTCTGTAAATTATACTACTATATAATATATGTGAGAGGTGATAAATAAAGGGTGATGATTTTTTTTTATTATTATTTTTCATCGAAATAAAGGGTGATGATTTTTTTTGTCGTTGTCTTTCATCATACACAAAAGACATTAGGTTTGCTAGTAGTCATAAACGTCTTATTGATTAAGAAAATCATCCTTCAATCAAAGGGGGGGAAAAAAAATAAAAATAAAAAAAATCATCTGATGGTAAGCAGTTACATCTAAGTCTAAGACGATGAAATGAAAGATAACAATATTGGGGGTAGCATTTGGAAATAAAAATTATATGTAATATTTTTTTAAATCAATCCTATCACAGTGTTGGTTTTATTTTTTATTTTTCCTTCTGAGCGGTTGATGAAAGATTGTCTGGCTAGCCACCATCGCCCTAGCGAATATGCATACCCTTAATGCTTGGTTTTCTATTTATAAGTTAGGCATAGGCAGTGTTGTAAAATGTGCGTCTAGGCTCGAAACTCAGGTTTAGCGCTTGTTGTTATCTCAAGCTCACTGATGTTTACTAGGCGCGCGCTTCGATTGCGTCTCGTCCTGTTTGTGAGGTGCGCCTAGACTCGCTTCACTGATATTTGTTTAAAAAATTACGATTGTTCTATTTCTCAAGCCAAAAAAAGTACTTTTGACAACTTAATAAACAAAAAAGAAAGCTCAATCATACGATATAAGGAACTTTTGTTCAAAAGAATAAAAAAATAAAAAAACCAAAGAGTAAAGTGTTAACTGAACAACGATAGAATGAGAATGTGAGATGAAGACAAAGCCCTAATTACAGAGATGAATGACGAAGCCACGTCAGTTCTTTTTTTTTTTTTTTTTTTTTGGTCAACATATTTATTTCTTTTTGTGTTTTGTTTTGCCATTCAAAAAACATGTTTTGCTTTGTCTTTCAAGAAAACAAATTTGTGCTCTGTTTTATGGTTGTTGGATGTTTGTATAGTTGATGGATTTATTTTGTTATATTTGATATTAATTTTTAGAATATTGATATGACTTATGAGATATGAATGGTATTCTGGTAGTTTAAATTTTCAATTATACGCCTCATTTCATTTAGGCGCGTGCCTCGCCGTGCGGCTCGCCCCTAGGCTCCAAAGGACCTCTAGCACCTTGGTGCGCCTTGGGCCTTTAATAACTATGGGTATAGGGCTGCAAATGAATCAAGTCGAGGCAGCTTGATTTTGCTCAGGCTCGGCCTAGGATTGTGAGGAGCTAGAAAAGCTGAGCTCAAGCTCAGGTTAGACTCATCTATATTTTGAAAAGTTCGGACTCAGCTTGTTTAATAAAAGAAGTCGTTTAAGTTCGATTTGAACTCGTGACTAGTTAATTAACTTATGCAATTCTACACAAGTCTGTTCATGAATCTATATAAGTTTATGTTTATGAACGTGTTTATGAGCTCTATACAAATCTATATTCACGAACATACACGAGCCTATATATGTGAGTCTACCTAAGATGGGTCCAATATTGTTAAGAATCTGCTCGTTTACTAAATGGGCCTTGAACTCGACCAATTTGTTTAACGTAACAGTTCGGAGTTTTTTTTTTACTCTATTTATTTACTCTCTCTCTCTCTCTCTATATATATATATATTTGGGGCAGGTATCGGTGGATTGCGCAATAGTGATCAGTCCAAAGAAGCAGTCTCTGACATACAAGCAGTGTGGATTTGATGGGTTAAGCGTCTGACCTATAAAGAAAGGGCAGCACTCCTTTCACCCCTGTTTCCTACATTTTCTCTCTCTAAAATATAGAGAGAGAAAGAGGGTGTTTAAAAAGCATGGACCACCCACAAGGACGGAGTGGTTAAAAATGCAAAAAAGGCCAAAAGCAAAGCGAAATGAGTTTCTAATTTGGGGGAAATTTAGATTGCTGAGATGATTAGTGCACATTGTTTTGGTGGTTGTTTTTTTGGGTGTAAAGTTTGGACTGATGTATTATTAAGCATGTAGGTTCATTTTCCCACTTTGCTAAGCTCTTTCTCTCTCTAAAAAAATGGAGAGAGAGAATTTTATGTGGAATATAGATTTGTTTAATTGGCTTCTTGATCAATGTACACGTGGCTCGGATAATGAGATTTTTTGTGGAACATGGTTTGGGGGAAATTGGCAATTTTCAACAAAGACGGCTAATTGCATGGGCGGATGCGATTGTCACGCCTAAAAAGATAGGTATAATTAATATATTGTTTTTATTTTTACGGAACATTAAAATATATTTTTGTAAGACAAAATTACCCTTTCTTGAATTTTATTCAATCTTCTATCTTTTATAAGACACAATTTTATTTCAAAGAAAAATTAATTCTATAATTTACTTCAATTAAAATTTATAGTCTTAAAAATTCACATCAAGTATAAATAAATAATATTTAATATATACAGTAAAAAAAACAACGGAAAAAAGAAAGAAAAAAAGAAAAAAGGAAAGAATGAATCTATTTAAAGACAATTAAGAAAAAGAAAAAAAAAGGAGAAAATAATGAAGTAATTTCGTATTACAAAATTAGATTTTAATGTCGCTAAAAAATAGGAGCAATGTATTAATTATAACTATTTTTTTACCAATCACTACTGCTCGCATTCACGATTGTAATTGACTGTTTTCATTTTCAATTGCTTTTATGAAGTTCTCGTTGATTAATTCAGAGATAGTGTTGTGTATAAATTGATTAAAAGTGTGTGTGTGTATATATATACTTTTAATCACTTTGAAATACTCTAATATTTACAAAACCCATTCTGTCATTGGATTAATTGCATGATATCACCATAAATTATAAAGAAAATTTACAGTATATTCCCATTCAAGGAGGCAACATACAAATTTCTTATTTTTCAAGGGAGTTTTGTGCAACTAAATTTAGTAATTTAAAATGCACATTTACAGCAAATTACGGTTAGAATTGGTTTTATTTACAAACTTGTAATAGTTTGGGAGATAATTTTATTTTAGAAATAACGTGCAATTTTTATTTTTTTTGTAAGCGGTAAAGATATCAACCTAAACTAATGTGGAATAAAGTGACAAGTAGTTTATTTTGCTTTGATAGCTTATGCCATTATACCAACAAAAGCTGATTAATTTGGCTTGATGGTTTTTCCTATAATTTGAAATATTCTATACCCATTTGTCAATAAAGAAAAAATAAATATAATAAAATATGAAAATGTAATAAAAATTAGGATAAGCTGAAAAAAAAAAAAAAAAAAAAAAAAAACTCAACTTTCACGATTTCTTAAAAAATTCTCCTAAACTATAATTTTTGCAAAAAAAATCCCTTATACTTTCTTAAAAATATGCAGACACCCCCCTACTGTATGCCGATAATAACAATAGTGACCAAAAATTGCTAAACTTTTGACCTAAAATCTTCATGATACCCTTCTTTATTGATCAAATGACATTGGATCATTTTTTGATCTATAAAAGCGCCAACCCTATAGTTCTGAGCTACTACTATATATTATTAAAAAAAAAATTCCTTTGTTTTCTTTTGATGCATATAAATTTTCAAAGCCAATTTAAAATTAAAAGCGAAGAATTTATAAAAACTTTTGATTGCTTTCTGCACATGTTTATTTTGGACCGAAATTGCAACCTTATGTGTAAAGCATGAATGGTGGCTGAAAATGTGCCATCATATGCTATTTTAAAAAAAATAAAAATAGATTCTTATCTTTCCCACTAAGTAAGGGCCTCTCAGATCCACTTTGTTCTCTTATAAACATGGAACATGGAAACAAACTTATTCAACCATCATAAAAGAGGGTTAATTGTTATTTGAAATAATAATAATAATTTGAAATCTGAAAGTCAGACAATTTCAATTGATTTATGTGAGTATAGTTGATGTCATTAATATTGCTGATATCATGATTACATCTCATTTTTCTTTTTCTTTTTTTCTTTTCTTCATATTCACATAAAATTAATCTAATAATACCCGACTCCAGTAATTTTTACTCAAAAAACGAAGAAGTCTTCAACTCTTCCAGGTAGGTGTATATGCAAAAACAGTGTAGTTCTAGAGGGGGTTTTGCAATTAACACTATAAATTATAAAATAGAATTTTCCTTGCATATACATAACTAGGGTTGGAAGTTACATTATTCTTTTAAATGGGTGTCACTCTCACGCACTGCATACGGTATTGCTAGGAATGATAATTCGTATTCGCATGTCATAATCGTGTCGTGTCAACCTAAGGGTATTCTAGTGAAGAGATCAAACACTAACCGGGCCTGTTTATGAAACAGATTAGACGCGTTAACCTCTTTAATGACCTATTTACCAAAATTGAACATTATATTATTTAGATTATTTATAATACTCAATCAAATAATAAATACTATAAAAAAAATATACATTAATTAAAGAGCTAATGTATATTTTTAATTGTTAGGGCTTACGTTGAAATGACCTAGTTATTCATAATAGTAATTAGGTCTAAACAGGTAATCAGTTACACGAGTGATGTTAATACGATTACGAAACTCTTAGTTAAATGGGTCTAAACAGGTTACAAGTGTTGAACCTCTCAATCCTAACACGATACTATTAATTAAACAGGCTAATCGTGTCAACCCATTTATGATCTAAATCTGTTTACCTCGTGTCGTGTTTGAGTCGTGTTGGCAAGTTGTGTCAAATTTTGCCACCCCTAGCTCTTGCTCTGGATTCCACTATATGTGACTTAAATTTTGTTACTTTCAAGCTCCAGTTCTTGTTTTCGCCGGTTATTGTGACTTACATACGAACTAAGTAGCCATTCGCACACCAAAACCATGGTATTAATCTTTCAGCCTGCGCCAAGGCACCTCAATCGTCCCATATCATACGGGTTTCACCAAATTTTCTGCTTACTCAGGTTGTTCAAATTTTTTCACAATGTGCTAATCAATAAAATGTTGCAAAAATGCTAAAATCTATGTATTAAACTCTTAGACTATAAACATTTAATCTGAAATAAAACCACTTATATTGCTGGACAACAGATTTAATAAATCAACCAAACCATAATATAATCTTAGGACAATAATTTGAAAACATGTAAAATGTTCTGAAACGTTCACACAAAAAAAATTGTAAATCCCTAATTCGAAGCACTATTAAAATAAGGTTAAATTACTCCAACCTTCCTTTTGATTAGGCTTAATTACCCTCGGATTAAACATTTTGAAATTTCATGATCAACCTCCCTTATCTCCCGGTACCACTGCCGTCTATGATTAGTTAGTCAGTTAAACTCGATTTAGAAACAAATTCAAAATGCCAAAACTGGTTGGTCAGGCATACAAGGCCAAATGTGTCGTGTGTCAAAATTGTCTTTTTGAAATTTCAGTGTCGACATTAACGGCAAAAGCGTAACAGTGACATAGAATCCATTACACAAGTAGAAAACACACAGTAAATGAGAGTTTTTTTTAACCATACAAAAACAAGAAAAAGGGTTCATAATTATGGCTAACACATCAAGGATGGTCACTGTAATTTGTCCTTTTTCTTCTTGTAGAAATAAATAAACACCACGTAATCTAGAAAACACTGATACGAATACAACCCGCACCCCTAGGTGAAGTGTCCATTCTTTCTAGCATGTGTGCGCGCGCACGCGCACCCCCACCCCCCATCAATGGTTCTGTATGGATAACTTGAACTGTGCAAACCAATTTCCCTTCAAGAAAACATAACTACAGGAAAACAAGAAAAACTGTTCATACTTATGGCTAACACATCAAGGATGATCCGTGTAACTTGTCATTTTTCTTGTCGTAGAAATAACTAAACAACACGTAACCTAAGGAACACGGATACGAACACAACACACACCCCCTAGGTGAAGTGTCCGTTCTTTCTAGCATCTGTGTGCGCATGCGCCCCCCATCAATGGTTCTCTATGGATAACTTGAACCGTGCAAACCAATTTCCCCTCATGAAACAAAATACAATGCAACAGAAGAAGGTGATAAAAAATAAAATAAATAAGAAAAAGAAGAGTCAAATACACACAAAACTTCCACAGAGCAACTGTTTGCATTATTAATTATCCAAAAAAATACAACTATTTCATTATTAAATCATTCATAACAAGAAGAGACTTGCAGAACAGCAATTCAGAACCAGCTCTAAATCCCTAAACAGAAAAAGAAGACTTGTAGTTGTTTTATTTATTTATTTATATCCTAAACTTGCAGTTCCTCCTAGAGCACCATGGATAATCTTCAACTGCAGAAGTCGGGAAACGAATTTATTACCTAGTCCAAGGTGATGATGTCTAGAAGAATCATAATCAAGCCTTCACACGGCCATAAAACTTCTGCTTCTCCTGTGTGGTCTGGAAGCGACCGTGTCCAAACTTGGAGGAGGTGTCGATGAACTTGAGTTTAATCTCTTCAAGCGCTACACGAGATGTCTGGGTGAGCAGAGACTGACGAAGTGTGACAACTCTCTTCTTAGGCCCGACACAGCCTCCCTTGATTAACAGAAAATCTTCCTTCACCACTCCATAGTGCGGGAAACCACCCATAGGATTAATGTCCTTCTCCGTCCTGATACATTAAAACCATAAGCAATCAAAAGAAAATATATAATGTGTTCTCTTTGCAGAAAATTATGTAGCGCGTGTTTTGATCTAGTTCGTCCATTGAAAGGCTAGTCATACATATGTTTTGCACTACGATAAAATGAATCTACATGTGCAAAGACAAATACAAAAAAATATGTTCTCTACTGTTGATGCGTGAATCTACTTTAGTCCAAACAACCGACCCTCTGCCGAGTTTGGAAGGAAAAGCAATACTGATTTTTATTTTTATTTTCTAAACAATCTACTATCAACAAAATTAAGGAATGCTTCCCATACTTTTCCAAGACAAAGGGTCAACTATACATGCCACTTCACCTCAATGCATAATACGAGATGAATTTGACGTGAATAAAATCACTCCATCTTTTAAAATAGGGTATCCAACGAATTATACATGAAAAAGGACACATTCTTCGAATTTGGAGGATGACAAATGGGTAATGTGTGAGTGGGGGCATGCGCCCTGCCACATGACATCGCCCTGACGTTATGTGGTGGGGCCCTGCCCTAACTCAGATACTCCATAGTCGGCATTTTCTGAATTCAGAGGATGTATCATTGCTCATAATACAATTTCCCTTCCTTCTGGTTGCAAGATATATACTCCGAAACAACACAGCAAAGAAGTGTTCATCAACACAACATGACCAAAAACAGCCAAAGGAATTCTATATGCAATCAAGAGCTACAAAATGGACTAACATGTTGAGCAATACCTTAAAATATATATATATATATAGGTGAGGGGAAAAGGGTTAGAAACCTGTCAAACTCAGTAATGGCAGTATGAGACTCTTGACCTGCCTTGCCGAGCCTGTAGACCTTCTTGTTCAACTCGGTACGGTGGTGGTATCCATTTTGACCAGCTCGGGCAACTGTGAAGGAAACTCTAGCAGGGTGCCATGAACCAATACAAGCCACCTTTCGAAGCCCCCTGTGGGTCTTTCGGGGCAGACGGGTGACTCCCCAACGGGTAACAACTCCTTCGTTGCCTTTACCCTTGGTGACGCCTATAATGTCTACCATCTCATCCTTCTGGAAAACAGCATCCACAGGGATCTGCTTTTCGAAGAAATTATATGCATAGTCCACCTTCTGAGCAATTGTCCCGCCATTCACTTGGATCTCCATCAGGTGCGCCTTCTTTTGTTTCAGGCCCTTCATCTTCCTTATCTGCATCACATACATAAAACACGAGGTAGTGCATCCAGTTGAAACCACATCATGGTTTTAAGAATAAGTAATCTGCAAGTTCATATATACCATAAAAACGTTCATAGTAGATCCAAGTTAAGACATCATATTTCTGAAACCTTGACCAAACACTTGGATGCAATTAAAAAAAAAAAGAAAAAAAAAGCATGATATAAAACCATAGAAAGTGCTTAGTTCACACTAACTTGCCTAAACATACAATATAGTTTTGCAAATTGGCCGAGTCCCTGCATGTTACAACTTAGCCAAGTCCAATCAGATACCGATATATCGCTGGGAATTGGAATTTACATGAGACGCGACAGAGTCAGCACATTTGATGGTGTGCAAGGTGGATAAAATTTCAGGACATCAATATTCGATTCCCTCATGCATGTAATTCATGTGCCTGACCCCATTCATATGGATTAAAGCAAAAATGATGGTAATATGAATTATATATATTCTGCGTCCTCAACGTGTCCGTGTCCTGCTACTTAAATTTGTTGAGCCAACATGTTCATGCCGTGTTGTGTCCATGTCCATGCTTCTTAACTAGCTAAATCTAAATGAATTTAGAATCAATGGAGTTGAGGCCCCTCGGTCAAGAGTGAAAAGAACTCGATAAAAACTAGATTTATGTCACAGAGCACAGAGTGGAATCAACCCAAAGTTGGAGTGAGAGCATGAGAGAATAAAAATGTATAGTTTTCTGTGGAAGCAGCTATAGAGTGTGTACATTTTTATACCACATACTATATGATCATATTGATTTATTCTGTATACTTTTTATTCTGCAACTATTGCAGATCGCCTATGAAATATATTTAAAAATCTTTTTAAAATGTTTCTTAAACATATAAGAAGATAATATTATTGTTTAGCAAAAAAAAATTAACAAACATGAACTCCACACAAACAAACACCTGCAAAATGTTAACTATCTTCTTCTTATTACGTCATATGCAACAAGAAAGAAGCTTGAAAGTCTCCTAAACTGCGGAATGCTGAACGCTTCCTAAATGTATGCTATGAGGAAGTAGAAAGCCTCTTCAATGATCAATAAGAAAAAAAAGCCTCTGCAAGTTGAGAGTAAGCCCATCCACCCAAATACATGAATTAGGTTTAAAATAACCATGTGATATCAAAATCTGAATGGCAATGAAACACATAGTTTCTATTAAAAATGTGAGAACTTAAGGAAAACAAAACCATTATGAAGCAATTCTAAGGTTGGTATTAACATACAATAAAAGGCCATTTAGTACCTGAGTGTGAGCCAAAACACGGATGATGGTTCCATATTTTTTCATTTTCTCAAGCTGTGCCTGGATATCTTTCTTCCCATCCTCGGTGTCACATTTCTTTGAATATTTGGTAAAAGCCTTCTTCTTGGACATGCACCAGTTCTTGTAGAATCTTCTCTTCAACTCCTCACTCAAATGCTGAGCCCAAACTGTGTTAAGGGAACGAAGGCCACGCGGAGTCTTCACATATGCCACCACTCCAACCACCACCATCGGAGGAGTTTCAATAATAGTAACAGCCTCACATGCCTCCTTCTTGTGAATCTCTACAATATACCAGTTAGATTGAGATTTTTTTTTCAACTCTCACCCCATCACAATATAAAATAACAACATATAACAACATATAGAGTAAATGTTAAACTAAGAGGCAAAATAATGGTATAAATTTTTATAAATTACAGCATAGCAACACAGAGCTTGGACAATCAAATTGGCATATGAAGAATGGAGGAAAAAGGAATTTTGGGAATAATATATATATATATATATATATATATATATATAATGAGGAATAAAACACATCTGTAACAACAAAAACATCTAAAATATAATTCTATCAACAATTAGAAAGAAAATTAAGCAGACTCAAGTAATATACTAGTACATAGCCAAATTAATATTCAAAGTACAAGTAACAAATACATAGAAATTTCATGTGCATCAAAGAATCACATTCTAGAACAAATCATTCTCAAAAGAAAAACAATTACAAAATCTTCCTTATAATAAAAATTATAATTATAATTATAATAATTTAAAAAAAAAAAAACATGAACAGAATTGGAAATAAGTTTCATAAGATAATTAAGCCTAATATAAAACATCAATTTAAGGGAGTCACAAGAATTTATCAGTTGTCTTACTTGACCCAGGCTTTTCGACGTCTCTGACAATGTGGGTCATTCCAGCCTTATAACCTAAGAATGCAGTTAGCTTGCAAGGCTTGGTAGGATCATCCTTCGGAAAAGCCTTCACTGCATAAATTTAGAAAGAGCAGCATTGTTAACAAGCTACAGAATGCCGGGAGAAATTAACGACGATACATACATTAATATACTTCCACAAATATAGGCAGCATAGGCATTCAAAAGCATTCTAGGTACAGGACATGTTGAAATATATGATGCTGGGAATTGGAAACCAAAATTTTCCATCTGCAACAACAACTGCAGAACTTCCCTATCCAAAAAATAAATGGATAAAATACGGCAAAGGCTAGGAAGCATGGATACTGACACAAGACACGAATATTACATTATATAGACACGGTAATAAGGCAAATCTAAAGGAAAAAAGGACACTGGTACGACATGGATACGTCAAAAAAATAATGATATAATATATACCCTTTCCCCTATGTCGAGCTGCCCTCTTTCTTGGGAGAAAGCCGAGAGAGCCATGCCTTGGGTGCTCAAACTTCCTGTGAGACATCTTTCTCCTCCTTCACTCTAAAAGAAAATAATACATAAATTGTTAAAGAAATGTTATTGATCAGATATTATATTTTAGCAATTCACCCAACTAAAACACAAAAGCCAAATACAAAGGGACTACATTGAAGAAAACCATTGCGAAAAAAAAATGATTGCTATTTTTTTTTCCCCACAAAATGGGAAGTCCTTTCAGAAAAGCCAACCAATGGTACTTAAAAAATGGTCCTTTTATAGAGGGTCATTAGTCTAATGGTATAACCTCTTCTCTCTTAAAAGGACAGCCAGAGCAATCAAAGATATGAGTATCGTAATGGTCAATTTGTGAAATGAAATGCCCTTTCCACATCAACCACAAATTGTGTGTGTGAGTGAAGCATGTACATAATAATATACAGAAAAAGCCAGAAGCAAAGTTCTGTATACAGCAACATGTATATACAAACATGATGGGTTGGATGTATACATGATCTAAGTGAAACATAATATTATACGTCATTAGTAGTTTTGTTCAACAATGTACAAATGTCAATTGCAATGAAAAAAAAAAAAACAGTAAAAAGTATGCAGATCATGTAGAATGTATATGCTATAAAGGCAGAGACACAACACAATGATGTTAGTGTGTGTGTGAGAGAGAGACCTTTGGGTCTTCCTCCGTATGAAGCCACTGTGCGAAATGAAAACCCTACTAAAAGGAGAGTGCGAAGATAACAAACCTGGGCGAAACGAAAGGAAAACTTTCAGCGGCCCATGGGCCCAAATCAAGTGGGCCTCTGATCCAGCCCGAACTGTTAAGCTTGGACTGGGCCTAATATTTTATTTTAATTATTTCATTTAATAACTGTATTTTTGTATAATTTTAGGTTTTTAGTTTTTATTGTAGAAAAGTTGGTTATATTCATCATTAAGCTAAAAATGAACATTCGAAGCATTGTGGGAGAAGTGGTCTTGTGCAATGCTCCAATCAAAGTTCAAATGGGAGAGAGAACAAAGGAGTTATAAATTCAAATTTTCAAATTAAGTTAAAATTCAAAAACCAAGTCTTTAAAGTTCAAATGGAATATCAAAGATAGAAAAGGAGTTGAAAATAAAATTGGAAAGGATTTGAAGTGAGAAAAGGAGTTACAAAATTCAAATTCAAATTAGAACTTCGAATTTCAAGTCTCCCTCTATCTTCTCATCCAACTATATAAATAACAAGATTCTGAAAATAAATGAGAGGAAAAAAAAAAAAGAAAAGGAGGAGGAAAGAAGACAAGAGGAAGCTCTAAAGCCGGAGATCGGGTTTTATTGTATCTATTTTCTTTGAATTTCTCTTCAGTTTGCGTAACTAATTTCTCAACTAAAGGTGAAGAAACCCCATTATAAAATAAATTTATGAATTTTTATGTATCAATTCCCATTTCGTACTTTGAATATTTATGATTTTATCTTCACATGATTATTTATTTAATTTTTTTTCACCATTATTATCGTATAATTTTGGTAGTTAAGAATGAAAATTAATTAATATAAGCTGATTTTATAAATTCTACAAAGTAAAACTTTGATCCTATTGTTGTTTTTTTTATTTTATTTGGAAATGTAAAATGCTTAGAATATCTCCAGCCGTATGTTAAAACACTCTTTTATATAAAATATACACTGCCCTTTTCTCCTCCCTCTTTCTCATTCTATTAACTAATCCACCATATATTAAGTAAGTTTATAAAAATTATGTGTGCTCCAGGCATAACACTGGTTGTTATTGGAGGATATATTTTTACACAAAAGGAATATAAATTATAGCGAGCTAAAAAAAATAATCTAAAATTTTTGTGTAAATATATTATAACACATCATATTTACATAAAAAAAAATATACACAACGGATTGAAGATGCTCTTATATTTAAAGACTCTGAAGCAAAGAAAACTCAACAATTTAATAATTTTTATATTTGCACAATGATAGATCTTGAGAAAGTATTCAATTGATTTCTAAATTGGGAATTGAAAAATAGATAATTAGAGATTTGCATGTTTAATGTGGAATCCGATAAACTTGGTATTTCTCTCCTACATTTTCGTTTTAAATAATTTCCTTTAATTTCATGCTTAGTATAAATTCAACAAGATCAATTTCGGGTAATTAGGTTTGAGTTGAATTAATTTGGATTCAAATTAGTTTTTTACTTTTTTCTTTTTTCTTTTTTCTTTTTTTTTTTTTTTAAATTTTCAACTTAATGTGTTTTAAAATTAACTTGCAAGCGTACGAATCTAGTGATGTATATAATGTAAGAGCGAGTTTGCTCCCACAAGGACAGATTAGGACAAATTAAATATTAAATTATTATTTAACTAATTCAACAAAGATTTGATGATTTAAATAATAAAAATAAAACAATAAAGTTGATCACAAGATAATAGAGAAAAGTATCAAGGTATTGATTCCACCACTCTAATCATAATATCACATATTTTCCATTGTAATTTATCGAATACCCTATTTAATTTTCCCACATCCAATATATGATGATAATTTTTTAAACTCATAGATGTTCTATCCTTGGTTAGGTATAGATTCATAAACTACAACTATTTATCCATGGTCAGGTATAAAATAATTATAATTTATTATCTTTTCTCTCAACTAGACCTATATAGATTACTAGTTCATGGTCTTGGTTAAACACATACAATTAATAGTATTAAAACATGCATTAAAAACAGAGAAAAATAATTTTTTAAATAAGAACATCCAATAAATTTAACAATTGAAAATAATAGAATACAATAATTAAACCTTCCTCTCAACCTAAATTGAGAAATTAGAACCCGATGAAAAATAAAATACAAACGACCAAACCCGAAATCATAAGTAGGTCTCATATAAATTTTCAGAAAGTTGCACGAGCCTCCTTCTATTCCTTAGCCACCAACATTCTATAATCTTCAAAGTTGCTTTCAAAAGAGGAGTGACAATAGTTAGATACTCCTATAATGTAGAGGCATTTTGAGGATGCATCTGGGAGGGAATTGGATCCCCCATTGATTCGATGTGCTTTTTGTCAAAATTGAAAGAACAATATTTATATAGTTATTTCGAAATATCGTATATTTTCTTCTGAAAAACAGACCTGTGTATCTTCCAAGTTCTAATGTAGGGATTAATGTTGTTGAAACCATCGGAGAAATAATGACTATCTATTAACATGGCTTTCCATCTTGCAAAGATCAGTTTGGCTAACAAATACTTTGCATCCTTGTTCGGAACTCCATTAAGGATGAATGGCCGGTCCTCAAAGTCGAGTGAGTAGAATGCGACAATGCTTGCCTATACCAACAGGTGAGTAGGAGCTCCTTCTCACTATTAATTAATAGAAGCTGATTCAATAAATTCTACAAGTAAAACTTTGATCTTATATATATATATATATATATATATATATATATATATATATTTTATTTGGATACATAAGTTGCTTAGATTTTACAACTCTGAAGCAAAGGAAAATCAACAATTTAATAATTTTTATGTATGCACGATGATAGATCTTAAGAAAGCATTGGATTGATTTCTAAATTGCTATTCTTAATTGGGAATTGAAAAATAGATAATTAGAGATTTGCATGTTTAATGGCTGTGCAATCCGATAAACTTGGTATTTCTCTCCTTTATTTTTGTTTTAAATAATTTCCTTTAATTGCATGCTTAGCATAAATTCAACAAGATCAATTTCAGGTAATTAATTAGGTCTGAGTTGAATTAATTTGGATTCAAAATTTTTTTTTTAATTCAACGCAATAACGTGTTTTGAAATTAACTCACAAGCGCACGAATCTATTGATGTATAGAATGCAAGAGCAAGATCGATCCAAGGATTGATTAGGATAAATTAAATATTAAATTATTATTTAACTAATTCAACAAGATTTGATGATGTAAACAATAAAAATAAAACAATTAAATTGATCACAAGATAATAGAGAAAAGTATCAAGGTATTGATTCCACCACTAATCATAATATCACATATTTTCAATTGTAAATTTATCAAATATCCTATTTAATTTTCACACATCTGATAATATTCTTTTAAACTCATAGATCCGTGCTGATTACTAGTTCATGGTCAGACATAAATAATTATAATTTATTATCTCTTCTCTCAACTAAACCTTTGCTGATTACTAGTTCATGGTTAGACACAATCAATCATTATGTCAAAGTTTAGAAAGAATCAATCATAGTCTTGGTTAAATACATACAATTAATTGTATTAAAACATGCATTAAAAATAGAAAAAAAATAATTTATTAAACAAGAACATCCAATAAATTTAATAATTGAAAATAATAGAGGATAATGATGAGGGCTTCCTCTTAGCCTAAGTTGAAAGATTAGAACCTCATGAAAAATAAAATACAAACGACCAAACTTGAAATCATAAGTAAGTCTCCTATGAATTTTATGAGAGTTGCACGATCCCTTTTCTGTTCCTTAGCCGCCTACACTCTATAATCTTCAAAATTGCTTTCAAGAGAGGAGTGTGCCATTTGTTAGACACAATGTAGATGCATTTTGAGGATGCTCTTCTCACTATCATTGTGACACAATAACACAATAATAAAATGGTACGTGTCCATTTCAAATTTAAAATATAAGAAATAAAAAATCAACACTATTTTATATGAATATATATTTATAATTTTTTAAAATGGAGACTGTACAGTTTTTTCATTTTCTCACATCAGTTGTGAGGATGAAATACTTGTTTTCCGGTGAACATACAAATATTATTCTTTAGAATATGCGTAGCAACGACCTAATTTGATGAGGAAATACCCACTGCACTTTTTTTTTTATCCTATTTGCACTATATTGTCTTCTTTATTGTGTGTATATATATATATATATATATATTTTTTTTTTTTTTACATTGAAAAATCTTACTTTGTACCAAAACTAATATTGAATTTTTTTTTATCATTAGATTTGCATTATTGTCATGCGAAGACAAGAGGTGTACAAATTTTCAACAGAGAATAGACAAAAATCAAAATTTACAAAAATTGGGGGAAACTATATGATTTTACCACGTGTCAATCTATGTGTATGTGCGAGGACAAGTCAGACCACATATGGTGTAGTGCAAGGGTGTA